TTTACTTTGTGTATGTCTTAATGCTACCTGACATGTGGGTACATTTAGGCTGATGAACAATGAGTACAACTTTTAAAAAGTAGAATAATAATGTCCCACAATAAACTGAAAGCTATACTAATTTTCCATCCCCATTATCAGTGGCTTTCATTTTCAAATGCGAACCAACATATCCCAAAATATAGAAGGTGGGAAACATTTGAACTCAGTGTAGGCTACTAGTATTGAGTTGACATGCACTTTGCACTGATAAACACAAATCTACTAATCTTAATGTGGGAACATTTTTTGTTGAGTGCAACTGTTCTGATCCAGGGTATTTAAATAATGTATTTGGACTGACTTGTTTTTGCATGGTGGAGCAGGAATGAGCGATTTAGGTCACATGCAAATGTCTTGCTTGTAATATTTTCAGCATGTGTTGATCCATCTGGAGCTCGCAGCAGAATAATAAGCACAAGCCTGGCTAGCATGTGCCGACATTCAAAAGGCGGCAAAGACATGCTCAACAGCTAAAGGCATTGTGATGTAACTAAAATAGGCTTAATTATATCAAATGTCTTTATTCTTAAATTAATAGATATCGGAACATCCTTGTCTTAAAACACAAATATTTGAACACGTCACTTGTTGAATCGTGCCTGAAATAAAGGTTCAACTCAGCAAATGTACACACACTTGCTTACACATGTTACAAAGTGGCCTAATTTGGTACAACATCGTGTTTTTCAGTGATGATCGCTGCAGGGAATTATGTCTTTGCGCCCTGTGTTGCAAGACAAATTAATTAAACAAGACTTTGGGTCGTGATCACACATGTCACGTTAGATTTTAACGCAAGGATCCCCACGCTGAGTGCAAGGCTTCATCTAATTATGGAAAAGTTGTCAAGGCATTGGCGCTCCTGCTTGGTATCTGCGCATGGTACCCGCCCGAGAAACAACAGGCTGTCTTAAACCTGCGCCCACCACGGCCTCTCAGGCTAAAACCTGTGCGACGTGCAGGCCTCACAAACTGTCTGCGAAACGGAGGCGTCTCCTTGAATTACTCACAGAATCATTCACGGCAACAGCAGAACGCTATGAGGCTGAGGTGCTTTCTTGATAATTGTCCTCATTCAGTCCACCACCAGCCAGGCAGGGCACTGCATTCGCTGAGAAATAAAGGTCACTTGGTGTAGCAACTTGTGTTGTCTCACACAATGAATAGAACCAAAACTTGTGTATGTACAGCAGAGAAGGTTTAGTACTCATAATAGACAAATATGTTGAAAAAAATTAAGGAAAAAGTTCAATTAATTATATTTGTTGGGTTACCGATCCTGCATTTTTGGCACTGTGTTGTCTCCATAGAATGTCAAAGCAAAGGTCATGGCAGAAGCTCATAATAGGCTCAAGCACAATTCAATACTTTAAAGATGTGCCACACCATGCTACTCTAAATGGCACGTTTTCTAAAGGTTGTAAAAAAATAAAAATAAATCAGGAACAATAACAGACTTACTTAATTCAAGGACTTTCAAGGCCAGACTTCTTCAAATTTAAAGACTAACATGACATAGTTGGCGACACGGATCAAGGTAAATTACCGTTGCAGGTTCTCAAGGCAGCTGAAGTGTGAATGACGCAACTGCAGGAGACACATGCACACAGTGGCGAGTAGAATATTAACATTAAGTATAAAATAATAGCAGAACTAAAAGCACCTGTAAAGCAGAGTGGCTGTTCAAGGTGACCGTAGAGTCCCAGGTTTGAATCCAAGCCTGGGACAAAGATGCCTTGTCCTTTTTTCAACCATCTCAAAATATCAAAGATAAAATACATTACATAGTCGTAGTCCTAATAAGTGAAGTCGCAGTATAAACAATGTCTTGGTTTAAAATTTGGAAACCTATATTCAAGAATAAGATATGACAAAGCCTCTGTAAATGTTACGCACAACATTGTTGTTTTTAGTCTAAAATGTCTTGTTTTTCCAAGGAGATCTTTAAATTCATGAGTATCCAATGTTACTAAAGCTTTATCCTTCACTTCATCAGATATTTATTCTTGCCTTTGAGTCTGATTCTCTATGCAACAGATATTCAAAATTACAAGAAAGTAATGTTACCATACTGTAGCATAATTTAACCCATTAGCCGATTATAGAACACTATAATATCACATACGTTTTGTCCAATTTACCCTTCATCATCTCGGGCTATATGCAGGATATAATGACCTAGTAATTCAAAGACCAGGAATAATACAAGAGTCTGAACTATTATATGTATATTGAGATGTATTTAATTTGAGTAAATGCATTGATTTATAGTTGGGCGTATTTTTGCTTTTAGAGTAATTATCTTGTGTCATTATATCAATACATTAGCGATGAAGGTAGCGGCAGAACTACAGAAGGAACCAATTGCGTGGAGGGATAATAATAGACAAATGTGTGCATTCAAATCATTATTTTTCACAAATGTTACCATATAGTGCATTTCACTGATGTCTGCTTAAACTATATGTTAGAGCATCCTCTGCTGGTCCTTTAGGATGTTGCTCTTCTTCACAAACCTGCACATTACAGCCACTACAAGTGACAGATATTCATTAAAGAAGAAGGAATTACAAATAATAGTCAGCAGAGTACTTAAATCAGTATATCTGCAATATTTATTCTAAGTGAAATACAAATGAAATATATTGTTAAAGGACATAAATAAAATGATCAAAGGATGGGTCCTGAGAGGAAATTAAATGATGCTGTCTGAACTATGCTGACGTGACACAGAAATGCAAGCAGGACATGCTAAGAGTGTGATGGTGGCCGCCTGCCGGGGCAGATGGGAAAGTGTTTTTTGGGCTTAATGCCAGACAGGCGACAGGGAGGATGGGTAGACAGGCGATAGTCCCTCGGGGGGTTTACTGATTGGCACTGATCACAAGGTCTCAGCAAGGTGCCATTACATGTGAGACTGTAAACAAGGTCAAAGTGATGTCGGGTTACAGCTGCCAGTCACCGGCTTGGCTGCGACCAGCAAGGTGCCTTGGAGGGCCGAAGGGCGAGGGGGGAGAGAGAGAGAGATAGGGGATAAGATAACAGCCCCGTCTCCTACAACATAAGGTTCCAAACTGAATCCTCAATTAGGTTTAAAGGGAAACCTATTTTCTCCCGTATTACAGATTTACTGAAAGTTAGCTTTAGCAAAGTAGCATAAATACTTATTCCCAACCAGATACATGTGCCTCGGGAAATAAGTAGCTCAACTAATTTGAAAATAAATTAATAGTACTCAAATTAAAGTATATCATGTATATCACCTGATGTCACATATTGTGAATGCGAGTGTGAAAAAGCTAGCAAGCAGAGATTCCAAAGTGTACGATATTAAGCTAAAACAGATAGCTAAAGAAATTAACTTGTTCAGTTAAAAGGAAAGGAAAAATCTTCTATTTAGTCAGCTGTACAGGATAAATGGTGAAATGCTAGCTATAAGTATAGGATGAATGGTAAAATAGACTTGAGAAACAGATAAAAACAGTGACATTTTAGCATTATTGGTAGAAAAAGATGACTAAATTAGCAGTTCATACAGCTGTCTAAAAGTAACTGATACATGGCTAAGCTACCTAGCTCAAGTCATATATTTTGTTAGAATATAACATCTGACACTAATGCAAACTTGACCAAACCATCTTAACAGTTCAATTACATAGAAGGATACCACTAAAAGTATTAAATATCATCCTATTAAAACAGTTGGCTCAAAGAAATACATTTGGATCATGACTGGTGATGTTGTTGATTGTATACTCAAGTTCATTTGACAGGGCTGTGAGAGTGTATATCTTTAAAAAAAACAATAACCAATGATACCTGGGCTGGTACACAATCCATTCTTTATATTTTAATATAAGTCCTTGTATGTATTTGAGTACTGATACACTATTGATGGCCTATAGGCTGCCGACTGCATGGTGCTGACAATGAGACATATTGATCATCATGTCAGAGTGGCTGTTGCCCAGGGCTGAATTAAAAGGGAGAGTGAAGCAAGAAGCAAAACAAATGTTTGTCTCTCCAAACCCTGCCTGGGGCGGGACGCTGAGCGCTCAACGCTGACTGGTCTGCTTGCTTCTCTATTGATTTCAGACTGGGCTGGGCTGCGGGCCAGCCAAAGGCCTCGGGTATGACTGTCTGGCCTCTGATCGATTGAGTAATGAAAAATCATCCTCAGTTTAAAAACAGACAGCGGACAGACAAAATACACTATTGGATCAGGAAGCAGTTTGATTTAGCCGCTGCTTTCTGTGTGGCTTGCATGCACACATCACTTGTTCTGTGGTTCATTTTTTTGTATAATGTACACATTTGCACTTCAACTTCTCTGTTTATTTGAATATTCGTAATTAATGCAAGATTTTTTTAATTGAAATAACGAATACCAGTCCAAAATAAATCTAATCCCTCTGGAGAGAAAGTACTTCTGATACTTCTGAGTTTGATAATAGGATTCTTATTCACTGACATTGGCCACTAGAGGCAGCCAGAGTACCACAAGCTGCATTTCACAACCACCCTGCAGAGCGTTTTGATGTTTTTTTAATAACAAACCAAGAGACAATGGCCGTTTCTCAATGTCGAGTATACTTTCTGCAGAGCCACTATTTCAAGTAGTAGCTGAATGCTGGTTATTTAACATGCATTTAAACAGTCCTTCGGCGCCACTCGATGACGTAGTATACTTGAAATAGTGGCTCTGCAGCATACTCGACATTGAGAAACTTCCAATGTTTGCCATTAACCAAGGGAGTTGATGTCACCATGAGAGTAAATGGACAGTTTAAACATTCTGTCTTGCACTGATGAAAATACTACAGTGTGTCTGTCGTTATAAAAACTTTTGTTCACAGTATTTCTGTGAGAAACTCAATTAGAAGTACCCATTTATATCCAAGCCTTATGCTCAAACGCATCATTGTCTTCTTAGCAGAAATGAAGTGACCAGACATGTGAAACATTAATCAAAACCATTTTAATTTGATAAAACGTTTTTGGATTATAGCTGACAATCATGAAGTCACTGCTTTTTACAGTAAAACTAACTAACTAGGTCTTTCCCCAGATATATTATCATAGAATGTAATGTGATAACAGCCACAAGTGCAATATTTCACAAGTTCGGCAAACGGCTTTCTTTTCACATTTTATAAGCTTTCTTAATTTCAGCAATTTTTGAATTAACTGTTTGTTAAAATGTATTTTCAAACTACCATAGGCAGACATCACAGACATAAAGCATAGGCTACCTCTATGTGTTGCCACCATTCATTTCACAGAAATATATCATTGAGAAAATTCTACGCACACCCTTGCTCCTATCCCAACATCATGTCTTGTGATTATGTTGCATTCAGTAGTTACCCTACACCCCCTGGCCTCATTCTGTTGTCCAGTGCATTACAGTTTGCATGACTGCATAGCCATACTGTCCTCCGGCCAGCTGTACGAGGCCACAGCAAACTCATCATAATCAGTGCTGTAGGTGAGTGAGTGCACGTATGCTTTCTTGTTGGATGGCTCCGGGTAAAGTGTTGCCATGTTGTGCTTATAGGCATACTCGATGATCTGTAATGCAAACATTTTGAGGATTTAAGTATTATCTGTTTCACAATTCACTATACAATTAGACTCTTACAGCTTGTGAGGTACATCTGGTCTTTGTTGTGTGTGCACTGAGCTCTCACCTTGACAGCTAGTTTGAGAGAGACCTCCCTGATGGAGCTGAGAGGAGGATACAACCGTCCCTCTGCCAGGTCCTTCTCTGTCACCAGGTCAGCCAGAGCCTGTTTAATGGTAAACACACAGCTCAGGTTTACAGTAGAATTCTTCCAAACCCAAATAATCAGGAACATTTCCCAAAGGACCGAAAGTCTATTATGGCCCATTTTTCACAGTTGACACCACCGATCTCTTTCTCTCTCTGGATATACGTATTTTATACAGCAAAACTACACTGTCGTTGTGTATATGATATTAAAAATGTAAATGGCCCATTTTTCTGACAAACGCCCATCCAGTTTACACCACCAATCTCTGTCTCTCTCTTTGTATATGTTATACAGTTAACTAAGCCTTAAAGTAGTCACGTCTTTATTCCAATGCCCAAAAGAAAAAAAAAGAAGAAAAAAAAAAAGACCCATTGGACCAAAAGCCGATTTGTCTAATGGCCCGTTTTCCTGATAAACGCCTATTCTTTATAGTTTCAGTTTTCAATGTCATGCAGTTAACTCAGTGTTAAAAGACTTGAGCCCTTATTCATATCCGTAAAAGTCAAACAAATGTGCCATCGGACTGAAATAACTTTCAACCAACTCAATTTCAGAGACAAATATTACACTTTCATTTATATACAGCTACAGTTACAAGTTTTATATCAAACCTGATGAGCTTATATAATATGCACCACTGTTATATCTTAACCCTAACCCCCACCCTAAAAATAGATTCACCATGACCAACTACATTATTAAAATCAGTAGTACAAACCCAGCCTGCCTGTATACTATCCATTCCTATCCTTCTACAACAAACTATTGAAATCAATACCTACATTAAATGCAGGACTTTTTTTGTAAAGTTATTATTTTACAGTCTGGTATTGCTACCTTTGTACAACTTCTAAATATTTCGGTCACTGTCAATAATACCATATACCATGAAAGGCTCCAGGCATTCATTAAATACCAGTGGAGTGCAAAGTATAGGTCCGGTGACATCATGAGTAATTATATTACACAATTGATTATACAAATACATGCATTTATTTAAAAAAGATATCAAAGATTTGAAAAGGTTTAAATGAACTGTTTATGTCAGTGCGTTACCTCTGCTGAAGTGAGGAAGATCTCCTCAGTAATATGTCGGACGGCGCAGGCGATGACCCCCAGGCCCACACCGGGGAAGATGTAGGCGTTGTTTCCCTGACCAGGGTAGAACGTCCTCCCATCAGACAGGGTGATGGGGTCAAATGGGCTGCCACTGGCAAAGATGCCCCGCCCCTACAGGAAAGTGAGTGATGGCAATGTATGTATTTATTTTAAAATACATTTTAATATTATAACCATTGATAATGTTTTCAGCTGGGTTTGTTATCTGTTTGTTAGCAGGATTACAGAACAAAAATACTGAACAAATTGTCATGAAACCAAGTGGAGAACTGTAAAATGGGCGAAGGGGAACCCGTTTAATTATGGAGCCATTAATTACTTTCACTAATGGGAAAAGGAAAAGCCTTGGCCCCTCTGGGTAATATTAATAGCTTGTTTCACATATTCACTAGCAATGAAACAATTTATAGCTACAGTATGTATTCAGGGTCGCAACTAGCAATTGTTTTCTATATCAATAACATTTCAGAATATTATCTAGATTAATAGATTAATCGTTTGGTCTGTAAAATGTCAGAAAATAGCTAAAATGTCCATCCCAGTTTCTTAAAATCCACGGTGAAGTCTTTAGGTGTTTTGTTTGTCCAAAACTCAATGATTTCCATTTCAATATAAAATAAAACAGAGAAAAGCGGGAAATCTACAACACTTTCAGCCATTATTGCAAGAAAATAACTTTGACTTTATTGCTTAATGGATTATTAATAAGTAGGCGATAAATTGACTACTATTACTGCCATGAAGAAAGTCTTGAGGGAGTACCTGTGTGATGGTGTAACACTGCTCAGCAGTGCATTCAGCTTTGCTGGTCGGGTTACTGAGGGCGAAGATGATTGGCCGCTCATTGAAGGAAGCCATGTCTGCGATGATCTGCTCAGTGAAGGCTCCAGCAATAGCTGCCACACCTGAGACAGGAAGCAGTTAGACATGAGCAATGCATTCTAATTCAGTCTGCTTCTCTCAGAGCTTTCCCTTATTTTGGAATGTTTTAAAAGTTGGTTGTATGAGATACCTATCCATAGTAAGTGTATTAGCTACAGTAGAAGGCAGTTAGCACGCCCCCAATTTAGGAGAAACAGACTCCTTAAGCCACCTAAAATGCTGCTAACTGTCCTTTCTTGCATCCAATCCATCAATGTCATCTATCAAAAACCATTCTGACAATATGCTCAACATATAGCTTCAAACTTGCGATCTGTCTGTCTTTTGAAAACATCTAATGCTTGTTATTGTTTTAATTTCTTTTCTTTTTTTTACCAATGATGGCTGTGGGTTTCATTTCATGAACAACATCCTCCAGTTTCCTCATCTGTGGGTGCTCATGAGCAAACCTCTCCTTCTCATGAGTCAGGCTGTCCCGGCCCTGCGGATTTGGAGAGGAAGTTTGAAGAGGAGGACATTAAAGGCATGAAACGATATGTGGAAAATCATTGACACTTTAATTGCTGAAGGAATTAAATATTTCTTCAAAGTGTTCCTCTGAGCAAAAGGATCCCGAGTTGGAAATCAGTGAGAAAACAGAAGGTCAAATGTAATGAATATGAAGTACAGAGAAAGGATGAAAAGGACAGAGAGTGGTATTGGTGGAGTTGAGGGGGCAGTGATAAAGATTGGAATTAAGTACAGAGGATGAGAAGTAGGAAAGTGGGATGAATAATGTGGATATGGTAGAAAAAACAGATGTTTAGCAGATGTTAGTATAGGAGCCTTTTGCTGTGATTCCAAGGACAAAACCTTTGTTATAAACTAGAAAATGCATTTCCTGCTGAAAATGCGTGTGGATGCTGTAAACTGTGTACATTTGTTGCTGAATTTAGCTGAAAATGCAGAAAAAGTTGAATATGTTATTAGTTGAATGTTCTCTGTAGCTGCTTTTAGCTACAATAACCAAGTAAGTGTGTTGCTGAACTTAGCGGAGAAATGCAGAAAAGTGAAATGATTTGAATCAAATTGTTACAGCTCAAATGCATTGCAATGACTTTGTTGAAAACTTGAAATTGAAATGTTAAACTGGAAGAGTAGGAAAAATAGTGAAGAAGCTTAATACTTAAAAGAAACGGTTTAAAAAAGGTATAAACAACTAAATGTATATCCTCAATGTCCTGATATAGCTGAATTAGTTAATAGTTGAATGGTTTATGTAGCTGGAAGTAGGCTGAAGGAGTTAGATATGAAATGTAAGTAGTAGTGAATGAATGTTTACAAACACCTGTGTGTGTAAGCCTGGTGTAAGCCCAGAGATCAAAGGTTTCCATGGAGTTGTG